AAAATAACGTACCGTACTGACATGTTACATGATACTTGTAACTTACAAGGTAAATAGGTAACATGTATCAAGGAAATATCGTTTCGCGGAGAACCTAACGGGTAACCGGGGCTCCGGCTCGACGTGCAAGAGAAGGAACGGGGTGGTTTTTAGTCAGTAAGAGCCTGACAGTCTCTCCCGCCTCACCCAGGCGGGGGCAGTCATTCGATGATTTTCCCCCCTTAAAAAAAACCCTAAACAGGTCCAAATTCTATCTGTATTAATATTAATATCCCAAACTCCATGCTGTAGCTGTGAAATTCAAAAAGAAGAATAAAACCGACGTGGATTTTCCATTTTAGGAAAAATCGATACAAATAACATGCATCACTTGGGACCAATGTTTTTAAAAAACTTTTCGCCTCATGAAATTCAGTAATACCTTCCTGAATAATTATACTTTATTGATTACTTATTTAGTATTTTTATCGACCTTCTAATATGAAATAAATATTTATGAAGTGACCTATTATTTATTATACGTAAAATAATTGACGATATTTAAAATAAAATACATTGCTAGCGCCAGTACATTTGCTTATGTGCATCACATTATTGATTTCCTTAAAAATATTAACTTTTTTAACACCAGAAAACTGATATGAAACTAAAACGTACCTCTGTAACAACAAATTCCTATCGAATGCATTATTAATGAATACATAATACACATATAATTAATCAACAATTTACGCAACAAAACCGTAACTCTAAGTTATTTGCTGAAACACCCCCTATTTCCCAATTAAAAACAAACTTCAAAACATTTCGCAATTTTAAAGTAACACCGTTATTTTTTTTAATTTAAAATTATCGTGAATTCACTATTTGAAAATCCTAAAATAATTACATAGTCGGTATTAACTGAATGCTTTTACTATAAAGGTGCAATTGTCTTAACCCTTAACTTCTAATTCCAATCAAACAATAACCTAAGAAATACGACATGTTATGACGTCACAAGCTAGTCGTTATAAAATACATAATATTTTTTAATCTGGCGTCGCTCGTTTACGAGTACTGGCCGGTGGCGCTATATAAGGGAGGGCGATGTGGTACCGTCGAGTAGATACGTTTTTCTCGCTAGCTGAGCGGACGGGACTTACGGACAAATGTAAGTACGCATATTTTTTTATATTTTTTTTTTGGTGGTCGTGGTACAGAGGGTTGTAATTTATTTGGAGGTGGAAATTTTAAAATTAGATTTTTTTAAAGTTATTTTTATATTTTTTTTTTAATATTTTTTCAAGAGAGGGTAAAAATATTTATTATACTTTTAGACGAAACGTTGAATATTTTATTTTTTTTTTACCTTCGTGAAAATATTTAAACTTTATGAACATTTCGTAACATAATGCATTTAAAACTATAAAACTTAACAACTACTTACAAACAATATAAAAGAGAAAGCAAAAATATTAACTAACTATTTCTTAAATGTAAATGAAATAAATGAAAGTTTATCAATTACAAACCCAATCAAAACGCGGCATATCCAAAAAAAAACACATATAAATGAGTGAACTGCAGACCAGAATATGAAAAGGAAACTTAAGAACGAACTTAATAACTATTTCCTCAACATATTTCTGCAAAAGTTTTGCAAAGAAAAATGTTCTTATCATCCATCTTAACAAATAGAGCAACAGTTTTAAAAAGACGGCACTTTTTTAATCTACCTCAGAGAGGCTTCGAAGCACTTTCAGAAGATCTTAATAAAACAAATCTTCAGTCTTCTTTAATTCCACATAAATTTATGAATGATTACAACCGGTTTTTAGGTATGAAATCAAACTATACGTAGTGTGTTTCAGGTTAAATATTTTTAAAGTTAAGTCTGATCGAAAATACACCATATGACTTACCACTTATAACATACAATTCATAACTGAACTTGTGAAAAGTCTATGTTATATTCTCTACCTACCCCTCTAGGATCATCATTAATAGCCTTTAAGTGGCCACTGCTGACCAAAGGCCTCCTTCTCGCATGGTTAAGGTTAGAGTATTAATCACCACGCTTGCTCAATGCGGGTTGGCGATTTCAACCTTATAATTAGAAAATATAAGCCTAGGTATCCTCACGTGTGTTTTCCCTCATCGTTTATCAGTGGTGTCTAAATAGTATTAGAAAGTACTTATAACTCTGAAGAAGTCTCTTTGGTAGATGCATGAAAAGTGGGCATCTGAAACTTCTTGGCCACGACGACATTTTACCCCACCCCTCTAGGGTATCCTATCTTACTTATGGTCTCTAGGTGCAGACACCTTTATACAACAGTGACACAGTAATAGGCTGAATTTCGTTTTTTTTTTCTAATGATTACCAGCTCATATTTATTGAATACTAGATTCTGCCCACGACTTCGTACGCGCAGTCCCGTTTTCTCCCGTTCCCGTAAGATTTTCAAGATTTTTTCTGTCGTAAGAAAAAAGATCAGCCAAATCAGTCTAGCCGTTCTCTGGTTATGGCGTGACAAAGGGAAACGGGTTTCATTTTTATGTTTATAGATTGAATAGTCTAAAAATAATATTGTTTGGTGTACATAACGAAAGTCAATCTAGCATATAATTGTATACGCTAAATATTTACTAAACCTAAACTATTAAAGTAATAATATATGTTGTATCTAAATATAAACTAAACACTATAGTTTTGGAAACCTTATGGCGTAGTACTTTGAACATTTCAAATTGCAAACAGTAAAACATTTAACGCCTAATAATAAATGTAGTGTTACTATACCTCTAATATTATAACATAACATAACATCACGCCTTTTATCCCCGAAGGGGTAGGCAGAGGTGCACATTACGGCACTTAATGCCACTGTACAATGTAACACCTACTTTTCATTATTTATGTTATGGGACACCCCATGTAATAGGGGGCGATCTTATTGCCATATACCGGCCACATTTCTAGACTCGTGTTACTACTGAAAACGCAATAATACTTTGCCTGATCTGGGAATCGAACCTGAGACGCCTTGCCCGGTACCACACAGTGCATAGGGTAGAAGCCGGAAATATCCATTATAATAGCCACGTATTTAAAATTAAAAAATATGTGTCTAATATTTTAATTTTTTTTTAGTCAATGTTAATCTTTATTTTTAATTACAGAATATATTTAATTAATATACATAATAAATACCAAAATAATAATACAAACGAAGTAATATTAAAAAAAATGTCAGCTAAAGGCATCAAAAAAATTTTTCTCACTTCTGTCGTGGATATGCCCAAAAGACTGGCATCATTGCCATGTTGAAAGGCAAATTTTAATACATATTTTAATTAATCTACTAGAACGGGTATTAAACAACAATTAGACAACTACCCTATACAATAAACGATAATATATGAAGATAATAATGAAGCAAATTAAATTTAGTATATTATTCAGTATAGTTTTTTGGAACGAATATTAAAAAAATATGAATTTCTTTTTCTTTAGTATGACGTGGTAAAAGTGTCTGTATTTGATTTCATTGAAACAAAAGCTGTAATTTCTGCTTGAGGTGAAAAGTAAGACAGGCAAAGTAAGGCAACATAATACTATTTTACAGTACTTTACTGCCAATGCCTAATAGTTTGCGAGACGATCTCCGGCCACCGTAAGCGCGGCGGACGGCGAGCATGGGCGGCTCCCCGTCCGACCAGAAACAGACCCGAGCGTACGGTGCGTCGCGTTCCGCGTGCGCTTCAAAGAGCTATCAGACCACCACGGATGGGGCCCAACAGGGCTGATGCCGATTCGGAGTCGCGGAGAACCTAACGAGTTACCGGGGCTCCGGCTCAATGTGTAGGAGAAGGAACGGGGTGGTTGCGGTGGTGGACACTCCCGCCTCACCCAGGCGGGTGCAGCCATTCGATGATTTTCTCCCCATAGTAAAATGGCTAATAGGTTAAATATATTCGGAGACTTATAATAATTCTGACTCAATTACGTACTAACTAGCTTTCCGCCTGCGGCTTCGTACGTAAACCCGCACGTATGGAAAAGAAAAAAAGTAACACTATTACTATTTCCAATCTTCTATTTCCAGCCAAAATATATTATTATCATAAAAATGATTCGTTGTTGTGTAAATGAAAGACAAATTAACAAAGAATTAATAATCTTCATAAGGTTTTTTCAATGATTGTCCTTACAGTCGATGTTTTCTTTGTTTTTTGACTATCATCAAAACATATTCGCATAAATCAATAATGCCCCAATGTTGTCTATCAAATTCTAACTCCAATATCATTATAATAGAGCTTACTTTTCTTCACCAAAGAATCGGAACTCACCACTGCGTAATGCAACAACTCGATCGAAATAACAAAACACCAAACACAATAACTTTTAAATGGACACCAACCACAAATGTATGAAAAGGTTCACTAAAGTTATATTAATAATTTAACTAGCACTACATCCTGGCTTTGTCTGCACGCAGGATTTCAAAAGTAATAATTTTATATCAATGTAATATTTTTCAAAAAATAATAGAACGAATTTCAGAGTATTGTCCCGTTATTACATGGATCTTATAATATAACTAGCGACCCGCCCCAGCTTCGAACGGGTGCAATATGCATGTATTATACATATGAACCTTCCTATGAATCACTTTACCTATTTAAAAAAACTGCATCAAAATTCATTGCCTAGTTTTAAAGATCTAAGCATACATAGGGACAGACAGATAGCGGATAGCGACTTTGTTTTATACTATGTAGTGATAAATGAAAAATAAAAAAAGGTACATAGATACTACCTGTGCTTTTACGTTTTTTGTGTTAAGAAAATTTTCCATTGACTACTCCCGCCTTCTGCAAGGCACGAGGGAGTATCAGACTCTTACTGACTAAAAATCACCCTGTTCTTAATAACGAGGTGATTTTACAAAATATCGGTCATACGTGGGCAGTCAACAAAGTACCGTAATATAAAATAAGCACATACCTACGTTAAATAAACAAAATAAGATGTTTAACATTCCATCGATCACGAAATTAATTAATACAAGCCTCCTTTGTTTAATTTTTCAATATTTTTTTAAAATTAAGAGAGATCATAAATATGCTGAATAAATCAAACCTGTTTATTCTAGAAAGAGTAAATTGACTGCTTGGTTGGCGCGGTGGCAGGCAACTAGCTATCGTGCAACGTGTAGTGGGTTAAATTTCCGCGCAGAACAACTCTTTGTGTAATCCACAAACTGTTGTCCCGGGTCTATGTTTCTAAACGCAGGAGATAAAACTGTGTGGGGCAACGTTATAAAAAAAAAAGAAATTTAGTAAATTAATTTTTAGCCCATATATCCCAATAAAATAATAAAAATAACGAGAATAAAAAAAGCCCATATATAACATAACATAACATACCATCACGCCTTTTATCCCCGGGGTAGGCAGAAGTGCACACAGGAGTAACACCCACTTTCCACCATTTATGTATGAGTCCCATGTAATAATAGGTGGTGAACCTGGAATTGTGTTATAGGAGTCTGGAATTGTGCCCGGTATATGGCTATTGCTACTACTGTGATGTAAAAAAAAACCTTGTAATACTTTGCCCGACCCGGGAATCGAACCCGAGACCTCTTGCCCGGTAATCGCACTTGCGACCAATCAGCCAACGAGGCAGTAAGAACAGTATACAAGATATTGCTTCACACAATACATTTTAGAATAAAAACCTACATTTTGTTCGTCACAATCTTGGTAAAGCAATTAAACTATAACATATTTCTAACATTCGCTTTTTCATAATATATTTCAGCCAATCAGAAACATAGTACAATTAATAACTCATGACAATTAACACATTTAAGTGTGGGAGAGCCAAGTTTCGGCACGAATTGGCTGGCTCGACAGAAGTGATCCCATGGCCCCACAGAAAACCGACGTGAGACAATGCTTGAATTGTGTTTTGTCGTGTAAGTGAGGTTACCGAAGGCCAAATTACACCCTTCCCAATCTCTAATTCCCCAAAAGGCCGGTAACGCACTTGTAACGCCTCTGGTGTTCCCGGTGTCCATGGGCGACGTCGATTGCTTACCATTAGGTGAACTCTCTGCCCAATAAATGGATTATCCCATAAAAAAATATCCACAATTT